CGTGAAGCACAAACAAGCCCCTGCGCGCATTTATGGCACAACACTGCAAGGACATTTTCCATTTACTTCTGAAATATTTATTAAAATGCACACACCTTTGAACAACACAAATGCTTCTTAAAAAAATAATAATAGCAGGCCTATGCCGATAGGCTACCTCAAGCAAGAAGGCTTGTCAAGTGTAGGCCGTCAGGCATTCAAAAACGGACATTTGTATCAAATACAGGCCTTTTTGCATATTAAACACTGCTAAATATTTGTAAGCATTATATATTTTTTCTGTGGCCAACAGATAAATATGATACAGACAAAGAATATAACAAAGCAAAGTTTTAGTTGACCTACAAGACAGTTTAATGCAATATTTTGTAACTGCAAAAGTTTGACACTTTGCCAATTATTGGGTAATACTATATAGACGGTAGAGAAAGATAATATGTATTTTTTTTTTTTTTTTTCAAAGATGGTGAATGGTAAATTAAGTCAGCCATCAGGTTGGCATTCTTGCTCGTATTGAATCTTATCCTATAATAGTCTACAGTCATGGACCGATAATTTAATTGCATAATCATAAAAGTTGGCTACATTTATCACCATGTTAATGTTTTGTTGTGTTTTTTTATTAAAAAACAAGATTTTAAATTTACAGTATAAAAATAGACTAGGCCAGTGTGCATCCTCGCTTCATAAACTAATCAAGCATTTATTTTTATTTTTATTTTTTCAGAAATTATGAATATCTTGAACTACAAAACATATTTAAATTGCATTTCATAAGTTATTTTATATAGACTATGCATATAATAGCATATTGCATAAAGTCAGCAAAACATTTTGCATTGCCAAAAGTAAAAAATAAACGCGTTTTAACACTTTATATTCTCTTCCGTCTAAATAAAATAGGTAAACAATTCCCGGGTAATAAAGCGCGACCCTGAAAAGCCTCTTTTACAGATTTTGGAGGTATTTCTCACTCCGGACAGGTAGATCAATGTCACGTTGTGTCTCTGAACTCGGGCGCGGAGAAGTTCATGCACGGGAGCTGTAGTCCTGAAACTCCTGAAACATCACAGCTTGGGAAAAGCCGCTTAAAGAAATATCACCATAACGTTTTAGAGCTTGGCATCTAAAAATCGAGCTGTTTAATGCCAGCCGCGCTTCCTCTCGGGTCAAACCAATCTCCTTTTATATAAAATAGATTTGGGAGAAGCGCCATTTTCTCTTCGATCCCATGTGCAATGAAACGCACGAGAAGTGTTCCGATTTCGAAACAACGCCGCGCGCGCGCTGAGAGCTGCAAATAAACGCGCGCGTGAAAATTATGTTTAAAAAAAGCGCAATGCATAACTTGTAATGCATTTATTGAGCAGCGACAGACAAGACAACACACGGCCACGGTTCTGCAGTGCAGGATCCGAACACACAGACACGAGCGATTAATTAAATGAATGCATTTTACCTGTGTCAAGCAGTACGGAGAGTACATAGTTATCTCAGAGGCGGGAAATGAATCTCGTTTTGAAGTTGAGTGGAAGTTCGCCGCGTTGCTGCATTGCAAGAGCTCGCCGTCCCCCTTCGCCTACTCCATGCTGCTCGCGCCGCTAACCCCGCCTCGAAGCAGAAAGTGAAAGCTCAAACTTTAGGAAGAAAAAAAAACTTCTCTCCTTCTTGCTCTCCCCCTTCGCTCTCTGATTCTCTAAAACCTTGCAGAAGACAGCCTGCTATTCATTAACGATTGGAAAGATGAAATAGCCTACACATTTTGGTAAATACATAAACGAATTGCACAGCAGTTCAACACTATCATTTAGGCAACTATTGGTGTTATAATCGATTACAGATCAATGTTTCCAGGTCAGTTTTGAGTGGTAATTTCCACTTATTCCATCTCCGAAATCCTGTCAATGATCAATTACTTTAAAAAAAAAGTTTTTTTTTTTCTTATAGTGAATTTGAAGTAAATATGGTGAGCTATATTGTTGTTGTGCAATAGCCTATATATCGGTCACCCTGCTCTTTAAAATATTGGTCATTGAAAATGTGTCATAATTCCTTAGGAAATAGGAACCTAAAATGTAAATATGCAAAGCTTGATCAATGCCATGTAGCAGGACTGACTGGCTGCAATATTTGAGTCAATGTTCTTTTAAACATTTGCGATACATTTTCCCCCATTCAATACTCCTGCAATCTTTAATCAGGTAATGGAAGGTAAGTAACCCCTCTTTCCCCCGCGCTCTTCCTCTATGACTCATCTATAGGCCCCAGTCCTGCATCACAGTATTGCAGGGTGGTCTCCTAAATCCACATCTGTTTTGTGGCAAACCACAGCGCCCAGGCTGCCTAGCAGCACGCTCAACTATGCTTATCTTGCACCTTCTCCAGCCGTGAAACTCTGCTGTCAAACTTTTAAGGGGCAGATTAGCTTGCTCTTTTATTAGGACTGCTTTCTCATAGACTGCTTAAGCCAACACCACAAAGGAGTTTTACCAATTACAGCACAACTTAATCCAGGACTACAAGCTTAATCCAGCATAAAGTTTAATCAACATCTGGGAAAACAAAACAGAAAATTGGGTTTACGGTAACCAATGGTTTTAGAAATTACTGGTTCAGAAAACGGATTTGACCAATCTGACAAAGAAGAGAAATATTTGTCATTTTTGAATCCCTAATCCAGGATTTTAATAGATATGCACGACGGCATTTTCAAAGGAAAACTTTTTGTCGTTTATTTACTCGACTGCGTTTTGAGGGCCTGAAAAAGCTAAATTTGGAAACTGGTTTCAAAGTGTAAGTTTTTAAAAACGATACCGTTATAATTTGTGTAAACTACAAAAACACAAATATGCGTATTAAAGGGATAGTTCACTTTGAAATTAATTTTTGGTATGTTTTAGCTTACCTCAAGGGCATCCAAGATGTAGGTGTCTTTGTTTCCGCATAGTTTCAATTTTGATATTTTTAGGTCAACCCGTTCGTTTTTATCAGTCATATAATGGAGGTCTATGGTCACCACCTCAAAGCGCATGCACAGAGAAGTTTTTTCCACACACATTTCGTGTCTTAGGCCATCATTGTGTACTTGCATTTAGAGTCATTAAATCATGTTTAATTTGGACTTCTCTGTGCATGCTCTTTGAGGTGGTGACCATAGACCTCCATTATATGACTGACAGACCAGAACGGTTTGACTTAAAAATATCAAAACACCTACATCTTGGATGCCAAGCTAAAAAATACCAAAAATTAATTTTAAAGTGAACTATCCCTTTAAGTGTTCAGTCTGTAGACGTGTAGTTTAGGGCTGTCAAACGATTAATCGCGATTAATCGCATCCAAAATAGAAGTTTGTGTTTACATAAGATATGTGGGTGCACTGTGTATAATTATTTTATATATATGCTTGTATATATTTAAGAAATATTTTCATGTATATACTGTATATAGATTTATATATAATTTATATTATATATAAATATTTTTTTCTTAAATATACATGCATGTGTGTGTATATTATACACAGTGCACCCATGCAAACACAAACGTTTATTTTGGATGCGATTATTCGTTTGACAACCCTAGTGTAGTGTTTCTTTACAAAGTGACATCGCCATCTACTGGCCTGGCATGAATAATACAGCGCTTTTAATCTATTTTAGCGGATTCATGTGAATGGGTATTGTTTTCACAAATTTGTCGTCTGTACACGAAAAATGTTTCCGTTTTTAGTACTTCGTTGTCGTGTAATGTGATAATGTCAGACCTGCTTGAGATGCAATGAGCACATAAACAGTTTTGTTTTTATAGATGGCTGTTCATTCACCTTGGCCTAACGGCAAAGAAGAGCTATAAATAAGGTTATAGGTCTAAATACAGTTAAGAGGCAACCCATAAACCTATGATTTTCCAGAATCCTACACAGTATGTTTTTAATAAGATAAAATACATCTGCAAAACAGCCAATATAACAAGAAAAACACTGACATTAAGAGTTAAGAGAGCGAGGTCAGAGAAAGGGCACATAGGTTGGCATTACAACATCGAAAGGCACAAATCCAAAACCAGAGTCTTCATGCTTCACACAGATCTTGCAGCCATTACTCTACGAAACAGCATGAAAACAATTCTGCTTTCAGCGCATGCATACTTTCACACACAAGCAAATACATACATGCACACACACGCACACACCCAGTTCTTTGTTAAGCAGATCCACGGTCGGGTTGCGGTCGCAGCAGCTAAAACCTCCATTAAAACTCGCATAAGAGAACCATATGCAAGCCATATAGTCGGTGTGTGTGGTTTTAGCTCAACACAAACACACACACACACTTTGCTTTTTACCCTTCCCTCATGGCTGGCAATTAAATAATCTTGATGGTATTTTATGTAGATAATTCCTGCAGCTGCTTCTCCACATAAACTCGCCATTCCTCTCAACGCCAACCACCATCTTACCATATAAACGCAGCACGTGAGATCATAAATGGCCGATGAGATTTATGATGCATACGTACACAGTGTTCTCTTGAAAGATGCTTCACAGGCTACGAAACTATGAAACGGAAAAATAAAAAGGCTATAGGATAGATCAAATAGAAGAACCGTGGTTCCTAAATAACCGTACAGTTCCCCAAATAACCTAAATAGTGCTTAAAAGAAGAAGAAGAAGTGTGAAAAACATTTTAATAATCCAAATAACACTTTTTGTGGAATGGAAAGATTCCATGGATGTCGAAGGTTCTAAATGGAACCAGCGATGCCAGTAAAGAACCTTCATTTTTAAGAGCGTATCAATCTCTGCTCTATCAAAGTTTGCTTCCAACTCATCTTATCACAATCTGAAGTCCAACTCAGTCTGGCCTGAAAGCGGATTAATTACATCAGCCATGAGAAAGAAATCAAAGTTCAATTCATCCGGTTACAGTCGTTTTATAGAAAAAAGAAAAGGAAATGAACAACAATAACAAGGACAGAAAGAGGAAAATTGCTTGTACCCTGTAGGATTCAGGCACTAGGAAACACTCTGAGATGCCCGGGGCTCGATGGGGACCTTCATGCACCAAATACGATTCTGTGGCCTGCAATACAACACAAAACATGCAGAGCAAATTTAGTCTTACTTCTTAGAGATCTTAAATCTGACAAAGAGCAGCATCGCAAAGCCTGAAACATGAAACTTTACTGGACTATACCTCGATCAATCACATGGTCTATAACTCTATTGCTTCTCCATGTTCCTATGTGTTTTCAATTCTTGAATAAACCAGTTTCTCATGTTTGGACGTCAAATAGACACTAGCTAGCACAATTAGTGGAGCCTTCCTGATCAGAGGAATGATGTGCATATTTTCTGAATATAGATATATAGGTTCCTAAATAACCTTACAGTTCCCCCAAATAACCTAAATAGTGCTAAAAATAAGAAAAAAAGTGTGAAAAACATTTTTAATAATCCAAATAACACTTTTTCCACAATTAAGAACTTTTGTGGAATGGAAAGATTCCATGGATGTCGAAGGCTCTAAATGGAACCATTGATGCCAGTTAAGAACCTTCATTTTTAAGAGCGTATCGATAATATCTATAGATAGAATATAGAATATAGATATCAATAGGGAACTCCGATTGATCTATCTGACTCTATCAGGCAACTTCACCCTTTACTAAAGAGCCGGAAGTCAATGCTTTTGTGTTCTGTCGCAAAATGTTAGCAACTTTGCATTCCCTCGCAAATAACTCAATCGAACGCAAAGTTTCGTGAGCGAAAACGCAAAAGCTTTTTTTTTTTTCCATCACCATGTCTCTTTAGGGGCTCCATACTTTTCTGTATGTACACTGAAAAACAATGGTGCAATTTACTCAATTTACTCAAAACAATTTACTCGCACGGAAATGGATGATAAAATTCGTAACAAAATGAACTAAAATTGAAAGACAGTATTTTATTTTTAAAACACTCTCTATAATGATCTTTGTTTTATTTGCGACTGAAAAAATCATTTCCACAATGATATGGGTGGAGAAAACATCATCTGAAATCACTAAACATTATAAATAAGAGCATAAGCATTTAGTAATAAATGGTAGCACTGAAGCACACAAAGTATGTAAAACATTTTAAAATACAGTAATATAATATGCAAACATAGCACTATCCTGCACTGAGTTGATTTCTGAAGGCATTAAAGCTTGTCAAGTTGGCGCTGACATTGTTTATGGTGACTGCATATGATTATTGTTATGGCATATGATGCATTTCATACAATGCAATGTATTTTGATGCATTAAGACAGTGGTTATTATTTCAATATTTAAAAAAAAAACGAACATACATGGGCTTGCTCTTTAGTCACTTATATAATTATCAATAGGAGCATATGATCATCTGTGTAAATGATGGCAAATGGAACATTTTGTGAATTCAACATTTGAATTGAAAACATGGATATGGACGGAAACCTTTTTTTATTATTAAAAGCAGTCTCTAAGGCTATGTTTACACGGAAATCCATGTGCATAAGGTGACGCAAAAGTGTGTGAAATTCAATGTAGTATGCACTCCAGGCAGCTAGGTGGCGATGTGAAGCACTGCCACACAACAACGCCAGGTTCGCGTGCATGCGTACAACGCGGCGGTGGAGCGTTTTTAAGATTTCCACTCTGGAGGGTGGTTTCACTTTTATGTGTTTTTAATAGGGCTGTCAAACGATCAATCGCGATTAATCGCATCCAAAATAAAAGTTTGTGTTTACATAATATATGTGGGTGCACTGTGTATAATTATTTTATATATATATAAATACACACACATGCTTGTATATATTTAAGAAATATTTTAAAGTCTATACTGTATATAGATTTATATATAATTTATGTGATATTTAAATATAAATATTTTATATATAAATATGTTTTTTCTTAAATATACATGCATGTGAGTGTATATATATATATATATATATCTACAAAATAATTATACACAGTGCACCCACATATATTATGTAAACGCAAACTTTTATTTTGGATGCGATTAATCGCGATTGATCGTTTGAAAGCCCTAGTTTTTAAGCCCCAAAAACGCTGTTGCCGTGTAAACGAAAGGCACATCCGATAACATATTTTTACGTTTTCACCCGTGAGCATTCTCATGTAAACAGGGCCTAAGGTATAAAGTGGGTGTAGGCCTCACCTCCATGAAAAAGAAAGGGAAAAGTACCATTTGAAAGACTAAAACTTCAAATTTCACAAACCACAGCATGGTTTCCAGTGAGCCAACCAGGACCTCATTCAACAACTATCCACACTAATAATGTTCAAATATGAACAATAAACTTTAACCACAAATGCACGTTTGTGTGCATAAATACATATCAACATCTATTCCAGCACATACGCACACACGCGGTTCGCTCATAATAAGTCCCAGGCATTGGCACTAGACTCGGGCAGTGGTGAATAACAAAGCCTATTCATATCCACCCAATGAAACGTTAGCTTTCCCAAATTTCCCTCACTTTTATAGGGTCTTAGCTAGCGCGCTAAAATCTCATTCAAGCAGGGAACAATTGCTGATTGGCTTTATTAGAACACAAACATGCATTTTCATAATTAAAGAGAACGTTAATCAGAGGCGAGTTCACGGCTCTCTGAGAAATGTGTTGAAAACAGAAGAGTTGAAGAGTGAAAGTTGTGGGAAGGATCATTGAATGGCAGGTGAGTTTTTCATTCTCAAGCCCCGACTGTCGCTCGAAGAACGTTAAGCAAAGACCCAAAGGTCTAGCAAAAACGATCTGGGCTTGACGCAATCGGAAGGTTTAAAAACACTTCCCAAATGTCAAAATGGCTGATGATGGTTGGATTTCTTTATGCGGATTTGAGGTATTGATTGACTCGAGTGTTTACTTTTGTTTAGTTTCAGGGTATTGATTACTCTCATGTTCCTGGAAATCATCTAACCAGATTTCACCATATGCTCTTTCCAAAGGCTCCCCTCGCTCTGAACTGAAGCAGAAAACGGAAAACGTTCCACTCACTCATTCGATTTCTCTTCATTTAATTGACTCGATCTTCATCTCTTTAAGACAAACCAGCAAATCAAAGCCGTCGTCGGTGAGGCCAGGCCGCACGAACCAGCTGAACAAACTCAACTCGGCCGCATTTCGCGGTGCTGAGCTCATCCGTTCATTTGTCTTGTCCACAGATGGAGGACAGAAGTCTATGTTGGCACCTGGAGGAACTCACATAATTTCACTATTATACTCGTTTTGAGAGAAGGAACCTTCAGACTCGTCTTCGCCTCCAAAAGCTCCCATTTTTCTGTAGCGATCTATTAATTATATATGGGCTGTATGCATATGGAGCATATGCAGGGTCCATATGGCCAGCCCTCAGCCAGAATCTCAAGCCTCTTCTTAATTAACATTTTAGAGGCGAAGCGCACAGAGAAAAGAGGGACATTTCAAAGCGGCTCTGGGAGCCTCTGACCTAATTGGAGTCAATGGAGATGTATGTAAATGTGTTAATTACGACAAGTTTCCTCGCTCTCACCGATAAATAGAGCTCTTTGTTTAAAATGTTTAATTGGTGGGAATAACGGAATCAAATGAGGGGGTTTCCTCCATATATGGGAGAGAGAGAGAGAGAGAGAGAGAGAGAGAGAGAGAGAGAGAGGTGTATATGGGTTGGAGGCATATGGCAATACGTTTGTGGTTTAGTGGAATGCTTAAGTGGTTAAATTCCTGAAATCTGAAGTTTCTCTCTCTCTCTCACACACACACACACACACACACAGTTTTAGAACGAAGTAAATAATTTCAGCGCCAAATTGAAGAGCAAAATAAATATCGGTTTCAAACTACTTTCAAACCCCCGTCGACCATTGCTCGGCCAAACTGGTAGTCCCGCCCCCAAACTGCTTGAGCCAATGTTGTTGTTTGTTTTTTTTTAAATTACACACTTTACCTTTAAACTATCATTTTAAATTTCTCAGAAGAAATTTCAGTGGTGATTGGCATCCTAAATTGGACAATGCGCCTACGCTATCTCACGACCAATTCGTACGAGTGGTTAAAAAGTGGCTAATTCGTACTAATTCAATTTGTCTTAACCCATGTGATGGGTTTAGGGGTGGGGTCAGGGGTCATTTTTGCTAATTCGTACATATTTTACGAGTTATCAAAAATCGTACGAATTTGTACAAGTGAGGTTGTATGAATTCGTAGTCGAATTAATTGCCGTGAGATCGGGTTGAATGCGCTGCTATGCAGTTGCTATAGGGTGATCTGGGTGGTTGCTTAAAGGGATAGCTCACACAAATATTAAACTTTGGACATCATTTACTCAATCTCATGTTGTTCCAAACCTGTAAACAACATTGGACCACATTGACTTTCATTGTAATGAAAAAACAAAAACAAAAAAACAACCACACTCTTCAATACAAGTCTAGTTTTTAACCAGCTGTTTTAAGGCTTCCTAGATCCTTATAAAAAGTAATAGCACATCTTTTCCCAACAAGCCAAAATATTACACGCCAAAGTTACTTGAAAAACCCCAAAATACGAGCAAAAGTAAAAGCCCTTCGAGCTGTTTCTTATCAAAATAAAAATGTCTCTTTTGACCAAATTGTTATTTCACGATATGAGAAATTTTATTTCAGGATAACGATACACATCTCGATAAATTTCTGTTTTTAAAACACAGAGCAAGAGCAACAGGAATATTAGGCTGCTGTCACTTTAAGACCAAACGCACAGATCCAATACATTGATACACATCCAGTTTACACCCTGTTTACTTTGACCTGAGACATAACCAGCTGTGTTTCCATGAATACTTCACGATGGGCATTTTGACATAATTGCGCGAGTATTCGACCATTCAAGCGCAATAAGACGTGAAAGAGAACTGAGACATCGCATTGCACTCTTTTTACTGCTTATCCTTTGTGCTTAACACTTTAACATTGAGCATGTAGCAAATTCGCAAGGCCCTGCTTACACGAGAACACTCGCGGGTGAAAACGTAAAAATATTTTATCGGATGTGCCTTTTGTTTACGCGGCGACGGCATTTTGGGGGCTTAAAAACGCAAAAAAAGTGAAACCACGCTTCACCACCGCGTTCCCGTGTAAAGGGTAAAAACGCAATAGCCTGCTTGAGAGTGAAGGTTGTACGCAGACGCGCGGACTTGGCGTTGTTGCGTGGCAGTGCTTCACATCGCCACCTAGCCGCCTGGAGTGCATACTACATTGAATTTCACACGCTTTTGCGTCACCAAATGCATGCGGATATCCCACCCAAAACGCAGAATAAAAAGTGATAACGCAACGCAACTTTTGCGTTTTCTCTTCAGAATCGTTTCTGAATGAGGCGACTTTCTGTGCACACACTTATATATACCGAGCCCGTTCTCATCCCAAGGCGTCATATACGACACTTTTGCCAAAGCGTAGACACCCAACGCACATGGCACCATTTTGCGTCAAATGAGACGCAGATATATGGGGCAGAAGGCGCCCCCTAGTGGTCTAACCATAACCCTACCCCATACCTAAACCTACCATAACCGAAGCATCTCATTTGACGCTAAAAGGTGCCGTTTGATGTCTACGCTTTGGCAAAAGAGTCGTATATGACGCCTTGGGATGAAAATGCATTGATATACCGATGTATATCGCAATACCGCCCAACACTAGCGCTTGCAGTAATGCAGTTATTCATATCTATCTGAAAACTCTCACAAACACACACACACCTGGCTGTCCTCCACACATTCAAAAACCAGCTGGCCCGAGAACAATCAACACAGGTCCCACTGATTTTTCCTTTTTTCACCTCTTTTTTCTTTGTCTTTTGTTTGTCTCCAAACGACACAGCAATTACTATTAGCACCATTGTTTTTTATCATTATAATTTACTAGCTGGCAGGGCCGAGCCAAATCAAACCGCATATAAACCTGTCCTCTATGGCAACCGCATCAAAGAGAGATGGAGAGAGGGAAGAAAAAAAAAGCAGAAAGAAGGAGGAACGAGAGAACGAGTGCTATATAAAAGGATGAAGCGTCCTTTCTCTGTGTGTCTGCCAGTAGCACCTCGGGGAGAACTGTTGGAAAAATGTGATTTTTCACACCAGCATCTCAGAGGCAATAGCAGAAGGAGAAAGAGATGGAGAGAATCTGGAATGAACGAGAGGCTGCTAATTATTAAAGCTCTGTTTGGGGTTTTGACATGAGTTTTCTGGCCCACGCCAAACCCCGTTTGCACACGGCACCTCTGATCTCCACTTTCACGGCTTGCCTTCTCCGTAACGTTCGGGTCCAGGTGCATCTATACATGCACGCATTCACTAGGAGTTACATTTGTGTGTGCAGGTGTGCAGTGGTGTTTCAGTGCGTTCGCACATGTTCATCACGGGCTGAATAAAAGTGTGTGTAGGTGGATTTGCATCATGGCATCTTATGTGCCAACACAGATGCCACAAACACAAAAAAAGTCCTCCCATGAGAAGTTTACACCCAAAAACAAGTTCATGCAACAGTCCACCAATCACTGCAGGCCATCGCATCCATGGTAACCCTGGCATCCAGTCAATCTAGAAAAGACGTAACCATAACCAAGTTCGGCAAACGCAGGTTTGCGAGATGCATTGAGTGTGTGCGCGCCATGCATCCGGACGCTTCAATCTGACTCGAGTGCTTGACCTCGTTCACGAATTCACAGCTTTGCATTTATTTTATTGCGTAGATTTCACAGGTGTGCTTGGCTGAAGAGGATGTTCATCTCTTTGAAAAGGTTTGTCATGAAGAAAAAATGCTCGCTGCAGGCAAATGTGGTGTTTCGTATTCAGATCCAGCCCCTTCAGCCTGCAAAGGCCTGTCAATCTCACATTTAAGGACTGACTTAAAGCACAGAACTCACTATCTAAACACAGCCTAATGTGCTTGCTGTGCAAATATTTATTCAGACACAATTACTAGAGCGTATGAATCCTAAACTAACAAATAACTGGAAATGAAGTTGCTCGTCTGAACACATTGGAGTTTGTATCTCACACCTGTGAAAGTCTCAAGCGAGCACTGTCGATATATGAAGGGGAGAGATCACAAGTTTTCTCTTGCATATGGTTTCATTATATCATGTAACTGACCCAGTATGTATTTTAATGTGAATAATGCAGCTCTTTTTTTATGGTGCAAAAAATCTGTGACTGAAAATCTCCCTCCCTCAAAAAAGATAATTTTATCATCACATTAACTGTGATATAGTACATCTCAGCAGTTTTCATCTGGCTGATGATATGTCTTGTATTTTTATTTTACTTTAAATATCATCTTGAGCATCACAACACTATAAAATAAATACTCTAATAAGAGAACTTTGAACAAGATCTCCTGCAAGACAGTCTTGCAAACTTTTATTAATTAATACAAAATAATATTTAATTGGTCAATCCTCAATAAAAGAAGATTTTAATTTAGCCAGATAAGTTTTCCATATGATGTGGATTTAGACTTTGTCTGCTTTCAGTTTAGATGTTGCTTTTGACGAGATTATGCCTTTTTTAATAAAAATCTACATTCAAGTATTCACCCTAAAATGAACCTAAAAATAAAAAACCTCATAACAATCAATAAATTATATTAGCTGTTACACTGATTCAGATTAAACATTTTTTAATAGACTAATGACCTTATATGTTTTCATACCTGCAGGAAACGTACTTATTATTATTATCCTTTAACTGCGAAAAAACTAAAATATAAACAAAGTGTTTTGGGTATTTTACAGCACTTTCCAAAAACGCTACATAATATTACTATATTTATAATATTTACATATTATAATATTTATTAACAGGCATGTAGGCCTACAAAAGAGAAAAGTATATATGAAGAGTTCAGATGCAAAAGCCTCTAAGTGCCATTTGAAATTTTCTTCTAGAATGATCATTTTTATCAAGCTTGTATATTTAAGCTCAGTAATTTCACTTAAATTGCAATGAAGATTACCTATTAATTGTAATTTAAGTGAAATTACTGAACTTAAATATACAAGCTTGATAAAAATGATCATTCTAGAAGAAAATTTCAAATGGCACTTAGAGGCTTTTGCATCTGAACTCTTCATATATATTTTTTCTTTGAGCGACAAGTTGTAGCCTTTTTTTCCATTTCTAAACAGCTCTTTGACATTTGAAATCTGTTGGCTAAGATTTCGGAAAACAGTGGGAAAGATATTGATTCGCATAGCACGTACCATTGTAGTTCAGGGGAAATTGCCAGCTCTCCTCAAAAGCCCATTTTTCTTTAAAACCTTCAGCGTCCAAAAAAAAAGAGGAGAGGGAGCGGGTGCACCCGTCGGTTTCTTCGGTGATACCGGAAGCGAAAAAACAACTCAACAAGTCGGGCTGTTTCCCAGAGTTTGTTCCGTCTGTAAAAGTAAAAGCTTTCTCTGGCACTTTTGCGGAATTATCGACGTCCTCGGTTCCGTGTTTAATGTGTTTCTCCAACTGTCATCGGCCGAGCGACGGAGCCTCCCCGTCAGCACCGACCGGAGGATTCACGGGCTCGGTCGAAAAGCTCCGCGAGCGCCGGTGAACGCAGAACAGCTCGCGTGAGGGACGTGAATGTGAGTGATTTTTCGTCGTCTTTATGTCCTGAAGTCAGTTCCTGTTTGTCTTGACTGCATCTTCCCCTTTCGAGCCTCCGACTGTCCGCACCATAACGGGACCCCCGCTGTTCCCGGACAGATGAAAGCGCGAGGCGTCGCAGTCAGTCACCAACACGAGTCGTGCACATTGCGACAGTCTAATCCGTAGACGCACCGAAGGGATCTCGCCTGTTGGCTAAAGCTTACCGCTGCTTTTAAACGCACGGGAGAGTAAACGTCCCCTCCGCGTGAGTAAATATCAGTTGTCGCCTCAGTCGACCCGAGGCTGCACCGGGGTAGCGGGTTTGGGGAGGCGTCGAGCTAGTGAATTATTGATCAATGTAGCAACTGGCAGCGTGTGGCGCTCCGCGGCCGGCCGGTGTGGCAGCTGCAGCTTTGGGGCATTAGCAGGGCTGTGGGAAAATCATGGACTGTGCGGATTACTGAACACCAAGCCAGACGGTACACACAGGGATAGACGGGTAAAAAAAAAAGAGAGAGAACTTAAATAGAACACGAGCAAAAGTGCAAGAACTATAGACATTCCATGAGTTCCATCTTGCATGTGGGAGCACTGATGATTATTCATCCGGGGGGGTCGACATTTTATCAACAATTTATGTCTGTAATTTTGAGGTTCGGCTTGCGCAACCCAAATTGTCTTTTGGCGCCCCTAGCGCAGTTTTCTAACTGTCAGGATACTTTAAACGTTTTAAACAAAACACTTTCGTTTATTTATGGTGTGTAATTCTACAATGATTTGGTATGACAGTAGCCTATAGTTTGCGTTGACCGTTATTGATCAGCTTTGCTAATGCTAAATGTTCTTTATTGGAATCAGTGGTTCCATGAAGAACCTTTAGCATTCATCTATCTATTTACAAAAGGCTCTTTATATTGGGAAAAGGTTCTTCCCACACTCATAAAACTAAAGGTTCCAAAAGCGATTTTCGCAGTGATGTCAACCATTTTGGGTTCCTCAAAGAACCGTTCAGTGAAGAGTCATGTGTGAAGAATATTGAAATAATAAAGAACCTTTTTTTGGGTTTGAAATGTTCCATTGATGTAATGTGTTCTTCATGGATCCATCAATGCCAATACAAACCTTTACCTTTAAGAGTATAAGGGGGGGGGGCGGTTCTTTTAGGCACGGATTACTAAACGGTTCTGTGGGGAACCATAAATGGTCCTTCTGTTGCATCTCTGTAAAAACACACTTTTGGAACCTTTATTGTTAATAGTGCGTAATGACTCAATTCTAAGGACTTTTTGATTATTGGAACGTTATTTCAAACGTTGTTGAAACGTACATTTTTATGTGGGGGAAATGACCTTCCAACTCATTTTTGTGGGGTAGCCTATATGGTCAAGTCAGTAAATTTAAAGGCAGTCGAATCAGAAAAGCTCTCAGTCCTTACAAGTTAATAGGCGGTGCCAAGAGGAGTGATGATGATCCCGTTCAGCCGGTGTCTCGTGCCATCCTTCAGATTCTGTCACTTATGAAACGCCACAAACAAGACCCAACGGCCCATCAATAATACAAGAAAATGCATCAGCACAACCTTCCAATAGGCTACAAAACCGTCCAAAAGGTGTAGCATCAGATTCAGATTGCCTAGTTATTTTAAATAAGATACGACTGCATGCATGCATTCAGAAAGGGTTTCGAAGTTTATCCCCGATAGTCTATGATTAGCTCATTTCCTTAGACTTGGAGAGAGATATATCCTCTATACACAGAGTCATACATAAGATTGTGATTAAAATACATAAACAAACATTGAAAGAAAGTGAGAACATGTTGAACAGTTAAGCAGAATTTTTCACCACCCGCAGTTTCCAGCGTACGAATAACGATAATATAATGATAAACGAACTACATTCAGTTTACAAAATAATAATAAATATTACTGTGGATTTCTAAATAATTTCCCAGAAATAATGATCTGATACAGAGAAAATAGATCTGACTCTGATAAATATTCACTTAAAATCAAAATAAATCCATCTGGGTTTAATTTGTTTGACATCATTGTGTTATTAATATAATGATTATTTTAATTTAAATAATTTAATGACCAACACACGGGTAATGCTTCATTTTCTGGGGCAGTCAACCATTGTCTTTTGTATTTATTTATACATTTAGCCTATACTTTTTATATGTGTATAGTAAGATAATGGGGAAATTATATGGAAAAAATCAATAACTATATGTTGATGATTTATAGGCTAGTGATAAATAAATAACACGTTTAATTTTGGCCAAATGATACTCATATGATGTATCAATAATAAATACAAATAATAATTTCAAATAATAATACGTTTTTAAACAATATTTAAATAAGCGTCCCGCATAATTAGTGGATATTTTTCGTTTTGGTGGGGATCTCTTTTTACCCACTTGCCAGATATTCTTTAAAATAAATTAAACTGTGAATTGATCAAAATAAAAACGATTTAGCATTTCATAATAATTTATACAACTTACAACGCTAATTGTGCGGATCATCAAACAAAAGCCTTTGTGAAAGAGTACAATATTTTGCATTAATTTAGCACTATAATTCATTTCCGTTATACATCGATTCATTTATTAATGTTTTCTCCTTTGTTATTGATCGCCATTGATTTCGTTATTATTAGCCTAAATATAGCCTATAATTAGTCACTTTAAAACATTTCTGAACACTGTAACAAATAACCTTAACAAATGCCCTAAGACTTAGGCTACTATTGAATTAGTTATTTAATTAAACACTAACTAAAAATAACAATTCGTAATAGGCTACATGATTTTTATAATCATAATTATGATATTCTAAAATGCATTGCAGTGCAGCTTGCCGAACAGAATTTCAAATCCATTAATGTCTCACTTTAATTGTGTAATATACAAATGTACAACATAATGTTGCGCAATTATTGATAACTATTATTGAAGTATAATTTAATCAGCTGAATAAACCCAATAAACTACATTTATGTATTTTATGTATCAATGTATTTTAGCAAAATGTTTACAGGAACAATGACTTAAAATAATTTGCCATGAAAATTATTTTAATACAGTGAAATTTGAACTTCAGCGATATATTTAAAAAAAAAAATCAATTCAACAAACAACCTAAATAAAACTGTATCTTGCTATTAAAACAAATAAGGTAGATTATATTTGGTATTTCATAGACTATGTATTTATTACTACATAAAATGACTCGTATAGAAAAGTTCGAATCTCTTCGAAAATATGATCGTTTACAATTACACCCAATTATAATCGTGTCCTTTTTTTGTGGTTTTAAAGTCAAATAAGCCTAATTAATAACGTTCATCCATAATTGATGAAGACGTGTACAATGAACATACTTTTACACACATCAAAATATGCAGTTTTGATCATCAAAAGATGCATTTATCCGCTTGTAATCGAATTCTGTGAAACTATTAAATCCCCGATATGAGTTTATTGCAGCGAGTGAGTGGCCGAGGAACTGAAAGCAGAACTTCTCACTGTGAGAAATCTTCCCCAGTGGCTCTTTTCACACGGAACAATTAGAAGCAACAGTAAACTTCATCTTTAACGATCGAATAATGCGTTCCAGGTCGAGTTTGGAGCGAATCGGACTCGCCGTTAATTGCGCTCGCACAGCGCGGGAAAGAGTGAGAGCGGCGTGGGTTCAGCATCACTGAAATCCCGGTTAAAGTTAACGAGAGTCTATAGCGCTGCCCTGCTCGCCACAGGACCTCTTAATGTGACCGCAATGCAGTGTAGGCGGTACCACGCTGTTTTAATACCTGGCAGAAGACAAGACAGCAGCTGTAATAAACTACAGTTAAAAAAGCTCTCAGTGCAGCACAGAAGCGCTGTAGAAACCCGTGTGCATCTGACCCGAGTGGACCGTGAACAGTAGTTATTTGTACAAGGGGTCACTGCATTTGGTGTGCTTAGGTATGAACCATTTTCATTACACAGCATGAAAACAACTGTGTCGATAAATTATAAAATAATGTACAGGCTAATTGATGCATTAAATTCTGTGTGTTACAGTGACCATGCATTCTAAAAAATGCTGGGTTGTTTCAACCCAAATTTGGGTCAAATATGGACAAACCCAATTGCTGGGTTAAAAATGTAATTAAAAAATGTACCGTTGAAAGTAAAAGTTGAACATTTTTAACCCAACATTTGGGTTTGTCCATATTTGACCAAAATGTGGGTTGAAACAACCCAGCATTTTTTAGAGTAAGGCTGCTTCACTGTAAAAAAAAAATGTTTTAACTTAACTAACAAATGACATGAAACAGATTTAAAAAAAAATGAGTTGAATCTTGTACTTCAAAGTTAAAACTTGTCATAACTTATGGATCATTTAATTTTTTACACCCTAATGTTCACACTAAAAATTGCTGGGTTGTTTCAACCCAAATTTGGGTGAAATATGGAGAAACCCAAATGATGGGTTAAAAATATCATTTAAAATGCTAACCCAACTTCAACTTTCACTTTCAATGGTACATTTTTTAATTACATTTTTTACCCAACATTTGGGTTTGTCCATATTTGACCCAAATTTGGGTTGAAACAACCCAGCATTTTGTGTATGAAGACTACATCACTGTTAAAAAAAAAAAAAACTTGGATGTTTTAACTAAACTAAGTAATTTCAATTTAAATGACATGAAACGGATTTTAAAAAATGAGATGAATCTTGTACTTCAAAGTTAAAAATGTCATAACTTACACTCTAAAAAATGCTGGGTTATTTCAACCCAAATTTAGGTCAAATATGGACAAACCCAAATGTTGGGTTAAAAATGTAATTTAAAATGTTAACCCAACTTCAACTTTTACTTTCAACGGTATTTTTAACCCAACATTTTGGGTTAAAACAACCCAGCATTGTTTAGAGTGTATGAATCATTACATTTTTTGTTGTTGTCATCAATAATACAAAAGCACAATGCCACTAAACAAAGACACCATGTAACAAATACATGCAACACAAACCATCCAATACACAACTATAACAAAAATAAGAAATTCTTTAAAAAAAATGTGACGTTTATGGAGATTTTTACGAAGGCCGAATTTTTCCTCAAGCTAGAAGACAATCACTTTTTATTTATAAAATTGGTGCAACACTCTCAGAAAAAAAGGTACAAAAGCTGTCACTGGGGCGATACCTTTTCAAAAGCACCCTTTAGGTACAAAAGTGTACCTTTTGAAAAGGTACCGCCCCAGTGACAGCTTTTGTACCTTTTTTTTCTGAGAGTGAAGCCTCTGTCAAGGCCTTTGTGATTTATAATTATAATTCAGATCATCATGAGCAATAACTTAATTACAACTGTGTGCCAGTTTTCTTAAACTGAGGAAATTGTTTTAAAAATGCTGGGTTGGGTAAAACATGGACAAACCCAAACGTGTGGTTAAAATGTAATTTCAAAAAAATTAACCCAAAGGCTTGGATTGTCCATATATGACCCAAATTTGAGTTAA